TATATTTATATTTATATTTATATTTTATAAATATAAATATAAATACAAAAGGAGACAAATATAAACAAATTAATAATAAAAAAAAAATAAATAAAAAGAGACAATAATAAACAAAAGGAGACAATAAATTAACAACAAACAAGGAGAGAAAACAAACAAAAGGAGACAGCAAACAAGAGAGAGACAGGAGAGAAGAAAAAACAAATAAAAAAAAAAGACAGAGAAAAGAAGAAAAGGGTATAAAAAGGAGACAGAAGAAAAGAAGAAAAGGGAATAAAAAGGAGACAAAAAAAAAAGAAGAAAAAGGAATAAAAAAGAGACAAAAAAAAGGAGAAAAAGGAATAAAAAAGAGACAGAAAAAAAGAAGAAAAGGGACAAAAATAAAAAGGAGACAAACGAACTTCTCTTAAGATTCTCTAATGAAGAAGACACAGGAGGCCTTGGTAGGCTATTATCCTCTGCAGCAGCAGCAGCAACAGCAGCAGCAGCAGCAGCAGCTGCTGCTGCTGCTGTAGCTGCTTCAGGCGACTGCGCTCCCGCCTCTGTTGCATTGGGGGCCCCTCTATCCCCTTCATCAGGGGCCCCCCCGAGGCCCCTCCATGGCAGCCGCAGCACGCAAGTACCCTTTTCTTGTTGAAGGCCTCTTAGTGTTGTTTGTGCTGCTGCAGCAGAGACAGCAGCAAGAAGCTGCTGCGGGTTCTGCTTACCATGGGGGCCCCCAGGTGCGGTGCTGTGTGGGGCCCCCGAGGGGAACGCAGCCTCCATATATACCCTAGACACCGTGAGGGGCCCCTTCAAAGGAGGGGGCCCCCCCCCGTCTTCTGCTGCTGCTGTGTCTCCTTTAAGCAAATCTGTCTCCTTATTGAGGGGAGGAGCCAAAAGAGCAGCAAGAGCATCGAAGGCAGGAAGGGGGCCCCTAGAAAACAGAGAGGGGCCCCCAAAGGGTCCCCCGTGGGGGCCCTCAGGGGGTCCACCTAAGGGGGAGCTTCTTAATACCCCAGGAGCTGCTGTAGCAACAGCAGGAGGGGCCCCCCGCACAACACTCCTCTGTATAGAAGCATCAGCAGGGGGAGGCCCTGCAGCCTGTGGGGGCCCCTCTAGATGCAGTACTGTTCCTGCTGATGGGGTATCAGGGGGGGCCCTTAGGGGCCCCGACAGATGCGCGGGTGTCCTAAGCAGGTGCCTGTCTGTTTCACGATAATGTGTAGTAAAGGGCCCCTCCTGGGGGCCCCTTTCCCTGCTAGGAAGCAGCCCCCCATCTGCTGCTGCTGTTGCTGCTGCTGATGCTGTTGCTGCTGCTTCGAAGCCGCTAGTTAAGGAGTCGACGCTCACAACTGGGGCCCCCGAAAAGGGAGTGGGGGCCCTCTGCAACGAAGAAGAGGGGGCCCCCCAAGGAGCAGCAGTTGCTGCAGGGGCCCCTAAGGGCCTCCTTACAGCAGCGCCCCGGGCCTCTATTCTATGCACCGTACTCAGCTGCTGCTGCTGCTGCTGGTCGTGCATGCAGCAGCTGCAGTTAAGCGCTCTAGCTGCGTTGGTATGGATCCTCTCGGGTGTACGGGGGTCTACTACAAGGGATTCTACTCTTGGGGGCCCAACGGGGGCCCCCCCAGGGGCCCCCTGTGGGTAATGTTGAGCTTGAGTGTCTCTCAGAGACAGTCTCCTTGTTTGCTGCCCTCTAAATGGTGAATGCCGCAGCAGAGGAGTATCGCTGCTGCTGCGTCTCCTCCCTAAGCCCAGCACAGGGGGGTCCCCTGGGGGGCCCCCCTGGGGGGCCCCCAAAAGGGCCTCCTCTACACGAGGTTGCATACGGAGAGGACTGCGGCTTAGAGCCCATCGCCCAGAGTTTGAAGGGGGGCCCCCAGAGAGGCCCAAAGAGGGGACACCAGGAGAGGGGCCCCCTATTCGGGGGGACCCCAAGGGGCCCCCAGGGGCCAAGGCAGGGAGACGGCTCTTAGGGAAGGAAGAAAGAGACATTGATGCATGCCTAATAAAAACAAGAAAAGAGACACATAAACAAAGGAACAAATAAATAAATAAATAAATAAACAAATAAACAAATAGATAAATAAATAAATAAATAAATAGAGAAGTGGAGAAATAAATAAAGAAATAAAGAAAGGAATAAAGAAAAGGATAAAAAAAGGCAGCAAGAGATAATAAAAAAAAAAAGGAAAGACAAGGAGATAAGAGACACATAAAGAGAAGGAGACAATAATAATAATTAATAATAATAATAATAATAATAATAATAATATAAAAGGAGATAAAGATATAAAAGGGACAGAAAAAAGAAAGAAAAAAGAAAACAGGAGAAAGAAAAAAATACAAACCTGTAAGGATGCGTAGATCGATAGGGGGGCCCCATACCCAGACTTTGTTGTGCTGTATGCACAGGAGGCCCCTCCCCTGCTGCAGCAGAGCCCAACCTGGGGGCCCCCCAGGGCCCCCCCCGGCTGTCTGTAGAATAGGCGTCATGCGTGGGTTCGTGCGTGTACGAGTTTGCTGCTGCTGCTGCTGCTGCAGCAGCAGCAAGTTGTACTGCTGCAGGGGAGGCGCATGCCAAGAGAGCTCGTGCCTGATTAAGAGGCACAAGGACACAAGCCTCATCTGCTGCTGCTGCTGCTGAGGATCCGGGTACAGCCAAGGCTCTAAGTGAGGAGGACGAAGAGGCTGCAGAGCCGCTAGATGGAGGAGGCGGGGGCACCTGAATGGGGGTCCCCCCTCCTTCAATCTTCCCGCTGCTGCTAAGGGCTAGGGGGCCCCAAGAACGGCTGTGAGGGGCCCCCGATTCCCTTACTTCTTCCCTACGGAAGCGCCGGCTTGACGGCTTTAAGGAGGCCTGCCCTCTTGATGCTCCCCTCTTCTTCTGCCGCTGCTGCTGCTGCTGCTGCTCAGGAGCAACAAGAGCCAAGATCTCATCCGCAGAGTAGTCCGGGGGACTGCGATCTCGAAGCCTTCTGCTGCGTCTTCTGCTGCTGCGTGGGCCATCTTCCTCTAGAGGGGCCCCAGAGGGGGGCCCCCTGGGGGCCCCCAATGGTACTGTATCTCTCTCAGGAAGAGAAGAAGCAGAAACCGCTGCTGAATCGGGTGGGGGGCCCTCCCTGTGTTTGTCTCTGCGTTTGGGTTTGGGGAGCATCGTGCCAAACCCCAAACCCTAGACCATAAACCCTAAACCCTGAACCCTCTTCCCTAGCTCGTCGCAGCGGGGAGAGGGAGGGCCTGCTTCCTTGGGGTTTACAGATTAAGTTTTAGGGTTTAAGGTGGATTTTTCTGAGAGATTTATAGAAATATGAACTTCAATTTGCGTTTTGCAATTGCTGCGCATGCAGATGGGTGGGAGGCGGGGGGGGGGCAGCAACCCCTGAACCCTAATTCCTAAACCCTAAACCATAAACCCCCGCCTTTGTAGACGGAAGAGACGGAAATGCAAAGGAGGATAGATCCAACAAAAATAAAAAGTAAAAGATATTCAAATTAATTTAAATTTAAACAAAGACAGAAAACAAATGCATGCAAAAGCCCATAAGGGCTCCGGGGGTGGTGACGGGAAAGGGTCGGTGGCGGCTGTGCCAAGAAACCGTAAAGCCGAAACCCTAATAAGTACACCATAAACCCTAAACCCTAGACCCTAAATAGTAAAGAGCAAACCTGGGTGCTTAAACCCTCAGCAATGAGCAATTAACCGTACACGGTTAGCCGTGAAACCTAAAGCGCACAGGGTGTCGCAGACCCCTAAATGATGAAGCCCTAAACACTAAACCCTAAACCCTAGACAACAAACCCTCGGCACAAGCAACTAAGCCCTAAACCATAAAACCAAAACCCTAAAAGCCCGAGGAGGGCGGATCAAGAAGCCTGCAAGCGTATCGTGCAAACTCTAGTTTATATAGGCAGAAGAATACCGTGAACCCTAAACCCTACACCCGGTAGGGGCTCCAAACCCTTGGTCGGAAGCCAATAACCCTAGACCCGAAGCCCTAAACCCTTTGTGGTTTATCCAGAGATCTGCTGTATCCCAGTGAGGCCTATGAGAATACCACTGAGGAATTTTTATCTTCCCTTCTTTAGCCATAAAAGGAGGGAAAATAAGCATTAGTGGGGCTGGAGTCCTCTTCCTACACCTCAATAGTAAATGCATGCACTGTAGCCTTTAAGCCCCTAAAAAAGCAATCAAGGGATGAACGAACTGCGCACACTGCAACAGCAGAATGCTGTTGCAGTGTATAATATATGCTGCAGTAGTGACATTAAAGGAGCTTATAAGTGGCTGACAGAGTCAGTATAGTTGCTGCCACCCCACTGCAGCTAACTAGCAGCTAGCTAGCAGCTAGCCACAGGGTAGTAAGGCAAAAGATATTCAAAAGCTCTTGGGTGCCCCTCCTTTGGTACCCCCCTCCTTCAGGATTTGAGGGGGCCCTGTTGACACTTGCAGTCGCCTCTGTATCTTGAGGGACCGTCTTTTACAGGCATGCCTTTAGGCGGCCCCCAAGAGTCGTATGGTGGCCTTGGGGGCCCCTTAATGCCTATGGAGGCCCTTATGGGGGGCCCCGAAAGCAACGGTGGGCCCCCTTATTACATTGAGCAGCAGGTAAGAACGGAACGGGGCCCTCCCCCTGGTGTTTCTTGTCGATACAAATCAAGCAAAGCCTTATAAAATACATCCCCTTTTACCTTGGCCAATTCAATAACAGGGAAGCTGCGGCCAGCTCCTGATGGGCAGCAGCAGCAACAGCAACAGCAGCAACAGCAGCAACTGGCACCAATGGAACTTCCGTTGGTGCTATCGATTTCCTGATCCTTGCTGCTGTTGCAGCTGTTGTTGTTGCTGCTGCTGCCTCCTGCAGTGCCTGTAGGGGCCCCCACTCCATTCTTCTGGTTTGGGCCCCCCCCTCTCTGACTGACGGGTTCTTTATCTGCTGATTTACTGCTCTTTGCCTCAATAGCGGTGGTCTCCGTGCTGCCGTCTTGGGGGCCCTCTTTGCGGACCCCCTCCGCTGCTCCTGCTGCTGCTGCTGCTGCTTCAGCCCTCAATGAAACGCTACTAGGGCTATTGCGATTCCGTGCAGTTCCGCTCTCCTTCTGCGTTGCATCCGGAGGGCCCCCATGCTTCTGCTGGCCCCCTTGCTTCTGGGGCCCCCCCTCTGTTGGCTTGTTGCGCTGCTTCCATTCTGCTGCCGCAGCTAAGAACCCTTTTATCAGAGCAGCAGCAATTAGATTAGCGTCTTTGTCTCCCTTAAAGGCACCTCCAGACACCAAAGGCATGCGCAACTGTTGCACAAGGGGGCCCCCACAGGGGCCCTTAGACGGACCCCCCGAGGGGCCCCCTTGGGTCTGCTTCTCGTTAAAGAGTAATACCAAACGAAGAAGATTTCGAGAAAGAACGAAAACTGAAAAAATAAAACACACAAACAGCAATAAACAAATATTGCTGCTGCTGCTGCTGCTGCTGCTGCTAGTTCTGCTGCTCCTGCTGCCGCTGTCTCTGGAAATTCTGTTACTCGTGTTCCTATTATGTTTGTTGTTGCTGCATCTATTTTGTTTCTACCGCTGCTGCACCTGCTGCTGCTTCTGCCTGTCTTACGTGTTTCATAGAACTTGTCTGCGGTGTATGTCCACCCCTTGGGCCCCACAACATAAGCCATGCCAATATTATTTATATTTAATGGTCTTATTTCCTTCCTAATTATATCTATACAAACAAATGCATCTGTCCCCTTTAACCCTATTTGTTGTCTCTCTTCTTCTTCAGGTACCATGCCAAATAAACAGCTAAAGGGAGTCCCCCATAGGGAGGGGGGCCCCATGGGGCCTCCTAGTGGGCCCTTCTGGGGGCCCCCAGGGGGCCCCCCACACCTTATGATGGCTGTGCCTGTAGATGATTCTTTTGCTGCCTTTAAGACATCTGAATGCAGGGCCCCCATTGCACTACCCCAATTGCTACTAAGATCTACGTGAGGCCGCCAGTGAGGAGACCCTGGGGGCCCCCCCAAAGGGCCCCCCCCATTAGCATCCTCTGCGCCACCTTCTCTGGGGCCCCCACAGGGGGCACCAGTAGGGGCAGCTGAGGAGGCCCTTATTGCATTAAGAAAGGCCAAATTAATTGAGCCACCACCGACATACAGCTGAGGGTCACCTGCATTAACAGAGAGGAGAGGTCGGGGACAGAAAGAAGAATAAATCGGGGTAAAGGCAGCAGAAGAAGCAGAAGCAGCAGCAAAAGCAGCACCACGGTTAGAGGGACATTTACAGCCGCAAGCGGCGCATTCCTCTGATATTTGCTGCTGTTGCTGCTGCTGCTGCTGCGTCTGTTTGTGACGGTGCGCAAGAGGGCCGTGAGCGCGGACTCTTCGGCAGTTCAAGTCTTCATAGGGCTCATTGGAGCTCTGCGACATTTGCTGCTGCTGCTGCTCCTCCTCCTCCTGATGCTGCTGTAGTTTCTGCTGCTGAAGATGGTCTGCTTCGGTGCAGCGCCTTTTATTTTTGCCAAGGTTGGTGTCTGTATTTTGCGCCTCATCCTCACACACTTCAAGCTTTGGATGTTTATGCTGCTGCTGCTGGCTGCTGCCGTTGCTGCTGTTACAATTCTCGCTGCAGCAGCACTGGAGGCTAGAGGAGGGGGGAAGTGGCGCATTGGGCGAGACATGCACTAGAAAACGGAGGCCCCCAAGCTGCATGCAACGCCGCGAGTTGTAGCAGCAGCAGCAGAAGCTTGACGGCCCCATTTGCAGCCGGGTGTACAGACACCCCACTGAGTGAAGGGTGTGCAGGCCTTCCTTCCTGCTGCGGCTGCAGTTACTGATGCTGCGGCGACAGTAGTGCCAGGAACAATGGACGGCTGCAGCTGTTGCTGCTGCAGTTGGCGGTACAACACGCCAGATATATCAAGAGGCGGTTCTTTGGCGCCACCTGAAAAGAGCAAAAAGTTACTGCAGTTTATAAGAATTAAGCAAATTTTATAAAATTTATGATGCCTTTAAGAGTGGCGAGCTTCCCTGGGGCTAGATGTGTATGTGCATCTCCTAGGCAGGCAGTTTCAGGCAGTATGGCCGGTTATCGTACATGAAAATAATTAAAACAGACAAAATAAACGAAAAAACCCCGTTAAATTAAATTAAAATTTATTAAATATATCCCTTTTCTCTCTACCGTAGGATCCGGGGCTTGGCACGAGCTGCTGCTGGTGGCTGCTGCCGTGTAACGGGTTTTGCCTGTTTGGTGTCTTCCCTCAGTATGTTTCTTTCTTTTATAGCTTTACATTTTACCTAAATAAAGTCATTAGTGTAGTAGTGCCTCTATTAGACCTTTGTTGGAGGTCTTGGCTGCTGTCTGCCTGCCTGCATGCGTTGTCTCGCGTGTTAGAAGGACCCATCAAGCGAGGTTTTTAAGAGCAGCAGGAGCAGCAACGGCAAGGACTGCAGCAGCAACGACTCCAGCTAAGCAGAAACAGCAGCAAGAACAGGAGGAACAGCAACACCACCAAGAGCAGCAACAGCACGCCACCCGCACCGGGACACGCTCAACAACAGCAGCAACAACAGCAGCAGCGCCGAGTTGCAACAGTAGAAGCAATAGAAGCAGCAGCCGAAGGAGAATGGAGGTGGACGGGGTGTCTGAGTGCCCCTCCTGGCTAAAGGAGATGCTGCAGCAACCTGCGGAGCCTGTAGCTAATGTACTTGAAGCAGAAATAGCAGCAAACCCTAGCGCAAAAGCAGCACTTGAATACGTCCGGACGCTCCTTGAAAAGAAGTAAGAAGGGTTTAGGGTTTACGCAGTTGATGGCACTGCGTGTGTGTCTATGCTAGGGGTTGTGGTATATTTGCTGCCGGCATTGTAACCGTACAGTGTACGCTGCTGCAATTGCTGCATTTGCTGCAGCAGCAGCAGCCGCTGCGGCAGCAGCGTCTTTTGTGCTAATTTTTTTTTTGTTGTTTTTTCTTATTTTTTTGGCATGCAGACAATATAACGAATTATTAGATGCTGTTGCTTACGGCATGCAATTAGATGATTCTGTAGACACCTCAAGTACCCCTCAGCTGTCTGTACTATCTGCTGCTATGGGGTCACCTCCTCCTCCTCTTTCCTTACAAAGAAAACTTTCTTTATTTAGATCTCTTGCTTCTGCTCATCATATCCATTTGGATCCTCTTAGATTACTTAAATTATGCGCAGGACTACTCGCTGATATACGTAAGCACAAGTGCACATCTTCCTGCTGCACATGCTGCTGTACCCCTGCTGTCCTGCCTTTTCTTGCTGCTGCACCCCGCTTCTGCCCCTGTTCTTTCTGCTGCTTCTCCTAATCCCTGCTCTTGTTGCTCCTCCTGTACCTGCTATGACTCGTGTAACGTCTGCTTCTGGTGTTACTGATGGCCCTGCTGCTGCTTCTGCTGCTGGTGGTGGTATGCTTGCTACTGTAGGTATTGGGGATTTGTGTACATTTTTATGGGGTGCTTTTATGGTGTGTGTTTATGGTGGCAGATGCTGAAGGGGGTCTACTCTTCTTAGAGCGACTACAGGAGGAGACCTTAGCAGCGCAGCAGAGCAGCATGCAGCAAACCCCTTTCTTGCAGACAGACAAACAAGCAGGAAAGGGTTTGTTTTCTGTTGGTGCCGTTGTCTTCTTGCATGCATTAAAGAGTTATTTATTAGCTAAGACGCAGCAACTTACGAAGGCACAAGAAGAACTCGACGAAGCAAAAAAACAAAAAGAACAAATTGGTGCACCTGACCCCGTGCTGCACTCCCTTGTGCACAGGGCACAGGCGCAGATAGACAAGGTAGGGTTTTCTGGTGTATAGGCACCTAATAATTATCCACTGGCATTCTGTTTTGTGTGGGGGTTGAGGGTTTAGTGTTTAGGTTTAGGGTTTGGGCGTGTTTGCAGGCACGGAAGAAGTACGGAGACTTCTGCAGAGAAACACTCTTCTTCCTCGCCTACACCTCCGCCAGTGAGTTGGGCCGTTAGGGTTTAGGGTTTAGGGTCTATGAGGTTATGGGTTGAAGCGGGGGTGGAGGCTAAGTCTAGCTGAAAATGCCATTTCTAGGGTTTGTGGTTTGGGGTTTCCTGTATTTGTTTAGATGCAATTAAAGAAAAGGAGAGATATGCAATCGCCAGAGATATCGCTTTTGCTGCTCTTGTAGCACCTGAAGTCTTCAACTTTGGCGAACTTGTGAGAAATTATACCTGGTATTTCTTTGTTTGTTTTTTTTCTTTCTCTTTTATTCTTTGTTCCTTTCTTTCTTCGTGTTTTTTTGTTTGCTCACTTGTGAATTTGTATTGTCCGTTCTTGGTTGCTTTCTTTTCCTACTTTTTGTGTGCTTGTTTCATTCGTATATTATGTACAAATTCATTAATTATTAATCAGTTAATTAATTAATTCGTTAATTGACGTATTATTTTGTGAATATTTAAGACAATTTACAAAGCTTGTTTCTATTTCTTCTTCTCAGCTGCAGCAAGCCATTGTAAGGGAGGCCTGGGAGCAGCAGACAGCCGATTCCTTTTTATTTGAATTGCTTAAAGTTGTTGCAGAAGGAAATATGGACAAATTCAATAAAACGTTTAAACAATATCAGACGCAAATCCAACAATCGGCAAGATACAAACACTAAACCCAAAACCCTAAGCCCAACCCAAAACCCTAAGCCCAATCCTAAACGCTCAACTGGGACCGTCATGGCTTCGTTGTTGAACTGTTTGTGTGCATATGCTTGTATGTATTTGCGTGTATTTGCATGCACGTGTTTTCTCTTTTTTTGCTAGCATGTCATGCTGTCTTTTTTTTGTTCTTATATCAGTAAGAAATAAGGAAAGAATAAACACTGATTATAGTGACATGGTTTCTTGTTATGTGCTGCGGACGGACACCTCAGGACTTGGCGCCCTACATTACAGCAATTCAGAAGAAAGCTGCAGCAACAGCTCTCCTTCGTCTTGCCTTCACGAGTAGCACAGCTGGTGCTGCTGTGCGCAGCAGCAGCAACAACGGCAGCAGCAACAGCAATGACAACGGCAACGACAACAACAACGACAACAGCAACAGCAACAGCAACACCAAGCTTATTGGTTCGCGCGCCCTCTCTTTTGCTGCTATTTCTGAGGCTTGCCAAGTGCCTCCAGATGAGGTGGAGAGAATTATATTATCTGCCATGGCACAACAACTTATAAAAGGAAAGATAAATCAAGTTGAGCAAACCCTGTCTTTGGAATGGGTTAAGCCGGTGCTGCTAACGGATGCAGAAAGGTCCGCATACACCCCAATTAAGGCACTACTTCAATAAATAATAAGCTGATTGACAACCTTTTGAATTATACACTGCAACTGTAGCACCTACAAGCTCCGTAGACACCGTAACGTCTGTCGGGCAGTAATTAACAAGTACCGTGATGGGTATTTACCTTCTACAAATAAACTCATGCACATAATATACCTATACCCATTTTCATGTGTGTATTCCATTTGTATATATCTGCTTTACACATTATATGTATGTGTATATGTTATGTTTATTCCCAATGGCAGTTATGTGCGTCGAGCAGCGACATCCATACGATTTAGGGGCTTTATCACTGTGTATCCATGTGTGTGTATGTGTTGCATTCATATGTGAATTGGTCACAGCATTCAAGCCTTACAAACACGGCTCTGTAGGTGGGCCTCCTCTGCGGAGGAGCTGCAGCAGGCGCTGCAGCACCTAACAGCAGAGCTGCTACGGGCGTGAAGCAGCAGGATGCAGCAGCAAGCAGCAGCCAGCAGCGGCATCCCACTACAGCCAGCAGGCTTTAAGTAGTACAACAGTGCAGGCGGATGCACATGTATGCGCCTGTGTGCATGCATGAAAGGGGTAAAGATAAACGTGTATAGGGTACTACTCCTGCTGTTGAACACCTTGTTGACGGTAGAGTTGCAGCCCAAGCAACTTATTTTCTCCTTTTTTGCAACTCTTCAAAGACTTAAACTCTTCCCGCAACAGCAACTATAGCTGCAGCAGCAGCAGTAGCCAGAGTAACAATTGCAACTGGAGCAGCCAGGATATTGTCTTTGAGAGCAACCACATGTGGACCCCTGCAATACATGCATGCAAGAATAGAGGAGAGGTTAATCTGTTGTTTTGAGTTATACGGATAAAATGCCTCTTACCTCCTCAGGCCTCAGGTGTCTGCACAACGACCTCCATCTGCTCACATATACTCATCCCCTTGAATGTGTTTACCTAAAGTAAAAAGTCTAGTGTTGTAAACACATTATTACTTCGAGGCTATTTGCTGTGCCTACATCTTCCTGGTTATGTTTGTGTTCATTATTAGTTGCAATCCCCGTCGGTGTCCAGCAGCAGCAGCACTACTGCTAAAGTTTACATGCTTACATTGCTAAAGTTCACAATTACTATTATAAAACGATGTAGTTTGCAGTACGTCTCCACTATTCTCTGGTGGCTTTAGCCGATTAGCTTCTTCTTTGTTGCTCCTGAGGACTCCAATCCATTGTTACTGTCACTACTGCCGCTATTTGCTGGGAGGTTAACTGTCGGTATCCACACTTGTTATAAAACACCTGCAGGGTAATGCTTTAGGATATTTTGTGGCGTGTCGGTCAATAACCCCACAACAACAGGAACTACGTACTGTTGGGTCTATTCTCTCCTGCGTCCAACTGTGTCGCACCACCCGTTCCGTTCCGTTCTTCTCTCCCTTTCTCCCTCTTTTGCTGCATCCTGCTGCCTTTTTATCTGTCGCTCCGGTGGAGCCTTATTATCACGTGTCGTCGTCTCATCCAGCCCTTCAAAGACGTTTGCTTGCAGTGATCGCCACCAGCTAGGTACTGGGTAGGTAGCGACCCCCAAACTGGCTAGCTGGCAACTGACTAGTTCTAGTCTGCTGGCCTGCTGGCTACTCGCTAGCTTGCCAACTAGGAGAGTGGCGTATGCTGAAGGAAACGAATAGGCACTCAGAAACACTTTGAACTCCCACGTCTCCTACAGGCTAGCGAAATAGCTAGCTCAGCTGGCTCTCTAGAGACTGCATACGTAGCACCTTACAAGCAAAAAGACAGGAGGAGTCTCTTGAGAATGAATACGCGCAAAACATATGGAGTCAATTAAATAACCAACTAGGTCGGGAATGGCATACCAATAGGGAAAAGGCTGTATATTCGCATACGCAGAATCTGCTGAGGTGTATGTATTGGTTTACATGCAATTTGCAGTTATTTGATTCTACGTATTCAAACCATTGAATTGAGGCTTTCTGTCTCCGATCATTTCACTCGTGTCACAAGCAGTTCTCAGCACTGTGCTTTTCACCAAAAACTGTGGAAAGGTACTTCAAGGGGCATCCACAGAAACGCACAAATACCAATGGCATCAGAACATATGCGCAGACATGCACAGGGAGAATGGCCAGGAGGAGTAGGCAATAACAAAGAACAAACGAAAGAAAAGAGGGCATTGAAAGGGAGCAGGAGAGGGGCGTATGCCTAAAAAAGAGCGTAAGTGTTTAGGCAAGAACGCTGTAATAGACGAACGCAGGCAGCAACAATCTGCTTAAAGATGAGATACCCCGGCCATGAAGAGAAAGGAGACAGATGGAGGCAAAAGGGGCAAACAAGGGAAGGAGAAAGGGGAGATGGAGGGACAAGGAGGCAGCCAGAGTGCTACAATGCTACAGTGCTACAGCCTGCAGACCGACCGAGGCAGCAGGATCGCATGGAGTGTTGTGTATTTGCTTGATACTAAATGTGCTGAAAAAATGATAAACCGAAGAATGGAGGCTGTCTTGTCGTTAAAGGCTAGAAAAAATCTCATTTCAACTGCTGGTGCTGCTGTTGCTGCTATCCTCCGAAGGGGCTTCTCTCGATCTCTTCAACGCCAGCTCGAGCCACTGAAAAGCAAATACGACTGCAGAGGAAGTAATTTTTTAAGAAACAAATAAACGAGCCTCAAGAGGTCGAACGCAATGTGGAGGAAACGAGACTAAAGAACCAGATCAAGGTATGGAAAAGAAAAAGCAACTCTTCACACTAGAAATGGAAACAACACATGAGAAACGGAGAACAGCCAATATGAACAGCGTAGATACGAAAATATGAAGTAGAATCAAGACAAAAGCTCTTCGGTGCAGGCTGATGGGTTTTCGCTGGACGGTTTAGGGTCTACGGTTTGGCGACCCACCAGGACTTCAGCGAGCTGCCGTCTATTGCCAATGACAGGCTGAGGCGCTCTTCCTTCAGCTATTGTTGCGGCGTTGTTTAGCATCAACAGACCTGTAGAGACTCTCCATAGGTACTGAAGGAACGCCACAAAGGAGGACCCACAACAGCGAGCTGCCGATTCAATGGATTACAAGAAACCATGTGCGCTCAAACTAACAGGAAAACAGTGATGGGACAACTTTCCAAGTGTTTCAAAAACGGGTTTCTGTGGCTCCAGCGGCAAATTGGAACAACAACCAGAAAGTAGTTGTGCTCGAGACCAACGTCAAAAGAGAAGTAATCGAATGACAACAGATGCAATGCAGGAACGCAATGAACATATGACATTTTGAGAAATCAAAGGCGGCGTTTAAGAGGAGAAGAAGGCCCCAGCACTGAATTTAGGAGAGCGAACGGCAAAACAAACCAGCGACAGTCTTATTAGTTCCCAGGCAAGTTATTGAAGAAGCTCACTGTTCCTTCGTATCCAGATTTGGGCTTAAGGGAGCTGAATCCCGGCTGCAAGCACAAACAGACGAATCATACGGTTCGAGCTTCTCTTGAAGTGTCTATCAGTGGCAAAACAAGCACACAAAAGGTTGGGGCCTGGGGTTGAACCACCAACAGGGACACTTCACAACATGGAATTCGAACACTTGAAACCGCAAGCTCGAAGCAAAAGCAGTAATAACTTCTGCAACTAGACGCACACAGACCAACGGCGCTAAAGAGATTAAAGTGACCATGCACAAACCTCTGGAGCCTGACGCGATATCGTATACTGGCTGGGTGTTCCTGAAAAGGCAAAGCAAAAACACAATTTGTTTACAATTATCGCCCTAGATTAATATCCATTCCACTATAGGATCAACGGGAATGGGACACACGTAGCAGCTGAAAAAGCGGAAAGAGCAAATTCACGGACGACGAGGCCACTCCAGCACAACAGCAGCACGTCAAGAATGGTGCAACCATGGGCTAAAACACACTGTAATAGCGACCTGAGCAAGAGCGGTGAGAATTGCCCCGACTTTGTAGTCAAACCCATGTTTGGCTACTTACATGCGTAGTCGTGGCTGCCCCTAGCTGACACTTATAATGTTGGTTTGTTCAATTATCTAGATGGCTACAAAGTAGCATTAATAGCTAACGGTGTTATACTGGCAGAGGTAGCGTTATAATTGTTACCACACAAAAATGTTATGACGACAGATATTACTTGATTATTACATAAAAGCTAGCCATAGACAACTTACGATAGGCATCCGATTGAACATCGATCTGCCACTCAAGTTCGTGAGCAAGCATGACGACAGATATTACTTGATTATTGCATAAAAGCTAGCCATAGACAACTTACGATAGGCATTCGATTGAACATCGATCTGCCACTCAAGCTCGTGAGCAAGCATTTGCAGTTGCTTCAACGCAGGGGTATAGTAGCTGTGCTCCTCCCTCAAACAGTCCACGATACGGACAACGTGGTTTCTGCAAAGAAGCAAACGAGCTTTACTCAGACGATAACGCAATAAACAAAGGCATAGGTTAACCCAGAGGGGAGACGGGAACCACGACCAAACAAGTGTGGCCGAGTCAAACAAATACGAACGAAGCTTCATAAAAATACTCTCAGAGAAAGCACGGCAAGGTAGTTGATGCCATCAGTAACATCCCGTTGCACGCGGGCAATAACACACGAAAGAGCCATGCAGACTGCTGACCACCCATTGCAAGCAAGCTAGTCGAGGTCATTGGGGGAAGGCAAAGCATAGAGAAAAAGCAGCAAGCGGGAAGGAGGAGGAGAAAGAACGAGCATAAAATGCGCGACTGAACAAGAGGAAAGAACGGAGGGAAAAAGAAGAAGGAGCAAGAAGAAACTCGCTGCACACTCTCTATCGATGACTCCTAAGGCGAAGTGAAAAAAGCTGTTGTTGCCGTCGTCTCCCTCTTCCGTGGTGTAGAGCTTCAGCGGAAATAAAATGAATTTGGCAGCCTCGCACCGCTGCAGCTCTGTTGCTGACAATTTCTGAAAACAAATAAAACAAAAACAAACGCGGTAAGTGCAGGAGTTCACGATGCAAACAACGGGAGATCCAACACATATGTGGCAGCAATATGCAAAATCAACAAGAGTACCCTTGAACACCATGCAAATAGCAATACAAAACCGATAAAGCGCAGATGCCATACATGAGCTCCAAGAGGAGTGTCCAAACAGTGACATGGGGGAAAACGGTCAAAGAGGCGGAGCTAGGATAAATACGCCAGCATTGGGCATAAACACACCGCAGAACAAAGATACCGCAAATGGGAAGGAAACAGCATGCACAAATCAGGAATATGGGACCTATAGAGAAAGCCGAATCAATGAAAGCACAAACAAATGATTCAGGCAAAGGAAGTAAAGAAGCACAGACACGCTACGCCCTACAGGCAGGTGCACAGGGGGATCCCCAGGCTTCTGGTCAGGGCAGTATCGCCTCCACCAACTAAAAATAAAAGTATCAGGAAGCCTGAAAGACAAGCAGGAAACACCAATGCGAGCTGCACGTTTGGGCGGTGTGTATGCGCGATGGCTATCCGCGGATAATATCCGGCCGCCTACTGCAAAACAAGATAATGACGACGAGAATAAGCTAGCCAAGTAGATGTAGGCAGCTGCGCAAGCAAACTAGGGGGTGCCCGAAACCCTCAACCATAGGACATATGCCCTGGAGCAGTGTAAAATGCAGGACTCCAGGGGAGCGCGACCCCTGTGCTTCACAGATTTCAAGGTGAAGGTTTAGGGTTTAGAGCTTACGTATCTTCGGCTGCTATCCGATCCTGCAAAGACAGGCATCAGCACCACACACGATTGCTCAGATTGGCTGAACGCTGTGTATGGTGTCAGGTTCAGGGACCTGGGCATGCAATATCACCACTGGAAGGGCCTATTCATGGCTTGGAGCGTTTTGTTCATACACATATACATATACATGTATGCTCATGCATACATGTATATTGATGCGTCCATACACCCGAAAGAATGAACGGCTCACCTGCAAAGCAGCCAAATAGAGCTCAGCGACATGATCGTCTAGGAGCTCACCTTGGCGAAATGCATTCAGGTGTGCTCTACACAGAATAACAAAGCGGAAGGAGTGAAACAGACGGCCGCCCTGCCATGAACCATTTGACGGCTGTTATTACTATTATTGCATTCAAACACAACCAAGTTGCAAAACAAACAAGGCCCCGTAAATCCCAAGCGAATACGGACAGAAACGTGGAGAAGACACTGATAGAAAAAGTACATATAATCACAAATAACAGCGCAGGTGCAGAAAGAAATCAACGACATTGAAAGATTCTGCGGCAACAGACGGCAAACAGAAGAGGAGCGTTCAAGTACACGATATTCGAAGCTAAAACATAGGAAAACAACTCAAGGAGGCACATATATTCCATGCAAGAGAAAACTGTTGCATACACCCAACGAAAGGGGAGCATACTGCTGTAACATGAGCACGGACAAATACACAAATGCACCCAAGTGGGCACTCACATGCATATACACGCATGCAGTGTATGCATATACGTGTTCGTGGTTTTACATGCTTGTACATACAAGTATATGTTAAGAACATGCAAACGGGATAAATGCTCAGGCGTTGAACCTTAAAACTCACATCTTGGAAGGTGCGTGCGTCTCTTTCAGCTCCCGTTTTGCCTCTTGAACCTCTTCAGGAGTTGCTGAGGTGCACGGACAGCACATAGACACATGCGCTGCGTCAACTATAAAACAGGAGAAAAGACCTTGTAGTGTTTTGTTTAAACGGACAGAAACAAAAACAAGTACAGAAACAAGCAACGATGGCAAGCGGCGTCAGCGGAGCAAAATGCAACGGCCTTCAGTTGAGAAACAGCATAGACCGTAACCCACATCCCTAAGCCCACGAAAACAAACCCTCACCAAAACGTGCAGGAGGAAAAGGCTCTCCCGTCAGCATTGCCTCCAAAGGGACAACCTGAAAACCCGTAGGAACCCCCAAACCGTAAACCTTCTAATATACACCCTGACTACTGGAATGGGAAACCGCTTTGCCTCAGCCGCTCAAGAGGTGTAGGTTTTGTGTGCTGCCTATTCCCCCTAAACCCTGGTACAACGTAAAGCCGAAAACCCTAGAATGAAGCAAAAATCTAAAGCCTGACAGGCAGGCAATTCGCCCAGTCAGACTGGCATAGCTATGGCGCAGCTGCACCCAATAACCCTAATGCACCCTAAACCCCAGTTGTGATGAACTTACGAGGTATTGTTTGACACCTAGACGCACGAAATACCAACTCACGATGAGGAAGATAATCGCTCCGATAGTCTGAATGGCGGGCATCCTAACCCTTCTGTTAGTCTTGTTTAGAAGTTGTTTAGCTCTTTGCAGGAAAGGCAAACCCAAGCGCCCATCCCGGTCATTGAATCTATCTCCGTAAGGTCTCTGTGCAGCAGGCCTCGCATAAGAGCTTCCAGACAAGAGTCCGAAGTCTGCTTCACTCGTTACATCTTCAAAAGCATACTTCGGCATTTGCCAGGGGGTATTGCTCAGGATCTCCTCCATCCCCCGCCGCACCTCCCCAGCACGATAGCTCCCCCATCCTCGCGCCGCAACTGTCGTTCGACTGTTCAGCAGCAACAGCGCGACACCCAATGTGCAGCCCAATGCCGCAGCAGGGAAGACCATCTTCAACAGATCTGCCCACTGCCCTGTCCTGCAGCTCGCGCCGGCTGCTGGCATTCAGAAGACAACTGCGTCACTGCAGCAAACCTCCTATCAGGAGCAGCAGCCAGGGAGGCAAGTGCTACTGCTGCTAATGGACTAGAAACTAATCCCTAGAGGCAGCAGTTCCTGTTGGCGCTCCCCCCCGTTGGTGCTGCAGGGGCCTCGCCTAGCCCAGTTCAGCTGAATATACAGCAAAATTTGGCCAGTGCTGCAGCCTCTGAGTCCCGCCCACTGTATAGAAGCACGCTAGAGTTGGTTACGTGCCTCCATCAGCTGCTCCTGCAGCCTCTGTCCTCCCTCCTGTGCCTGGCCCCCAGGAAGAAGCTGTTTGAGGAGACCCGTGGAACACAGGAATGTGTGCAGTTGCCCCAGATGTACCAGGGAGTGTAAGGGATAAGGCGCCCGATATGTGGAGACGAAGACGAAAGGTTAGCCCGATTCAGTAGACGCCGTTGTAAAAACCGGGTTGGAGACTGATAGGTATTTCGCCGGAAACCGTCGCGAAATCCTAACTCAACCACCAAACCGAAGCAGGAGAGCAACAGGAGGTCATCTACATTGATATCGAGGAAAGTTACCCTAAAATCACATTCTGACGCCTCAGGTGGCCGCAAAGGGAAAGAGAAATTCGCAGATTTTCCCACTTTCAGCTCCCCCCAAATCCTCGTACACGGAGCATCAAGAGCGGTGATCTGACTCTGTAATGAGGAGATGAAATGGAAAAATGAAGTTCAGAGCAGCACGAAGCCTACGAAAAAAAACGAGCGGGTTTCGTCATTGGAGGAACAAGGCCACGGGAGAGGAAGGCTCCGAGTGAGCACATGTCGAACCCTCCCACCAAAGTTCTTGCAATTCCTCCACCGTCTTGCAAAGGCATTGATAAGCCAACCGCTTTTTAAATGCTATTTTACTAGAAACCACAAGGATTGAAAAGTCCTTGACACTGGATCATGTATCTCGTAGCTCGTACGTAGGCAGAGGCCTCGAGCCCCACGCGATGGTGGCTGCAGTTGCAGTCGAACGTTTTAGTAGGAAACTGTATAATTGTAGAACGAGCTTACTGAAGTGTGCATTTGTGGAAAATACACTAAATTTGCTGTGCTCATTTACTGCACACCCTGTCCCATATCGAAGCTGCTATTGCCTCCCCGTGATGCTCAAGGCCATGCCATGACCCCAGCGCCGCCACAGTCTGATTGCAACAGAAGCCGAAATCTACCGTCTCAATCTACATTTAAGACTTACTATAAAAAGCAGCAGCTACGCCTCTATGTTTTAATTCACTTCAATACACGGTAGTGCCAAATGCACGTCGCCACCAAAGGACCGTCGTAAACCATGGTCTGCCTGCTCTGTCAACGAAAGTTGATACGTGAATCTCTATCTCCTTGCTGAGTTCCTATTTAGTGCAATGTAAGTGCTTAACAATTGTCTAAAGCGTTAGTGCACTCATCTGATGGGACTTTTTGTCCTTGTGTAGCGTGGTTCTTCTTGGCTAAGAACCCTGGTGAACTGTAGAAGCATAAGACTTAAGGAAGAGTTACCAAAACACCACTGATTTTCACTCTTGAGTCTCCAGGCATCCTGGCTAAATCAACCAAATGGCCTGGGACTCCTGAGGAGAGGAGGCTTCCTGTCATCTGCTTCCGTTCACTCTGCTCCAAGTAATTGCGCAAAGGAACCAAACTTGCACGCACAAAGTCCCTTTTGATATGAACGATGACCCTCTGTACACGTGTCAAGCACGTGGTTGTGCATCCATAGCTATCCTGCGCTCGAGTAGGGTTGCGCGAAGTTGCTTCACACACACCAAGCTACGTTCCCTGCCCTTGCCCCAAGGAGCACTCGCACTCATGTGCCTTGTCTACCAAAACATTAAAGAGGGGGAAGAGAAGGGATCAGAAGGGGAAAATTGCCTTCTGAGGATGTGTTTCCGATTTACTATTGCAAATGACGACCCGTACCTCGTGGTTGTCCCCCTTTTACGTGGCGGGGCCACCGTGCTTAGCTGCGCTCTGTGCAGGTTTTATTGGGCTAAGTGCCGAACTGGGATGCATACATCCAAATGCAACCAGTCATTTTCTCGTCTTCAGGCCTACCGGGGAATCGGGACATCCAAAGCCCGTGCGGTTGGTTCGGTCTATCATAAGTTGCAGCACACGCCCTGCTACCACACATACAGCAAGGCTACCCTGCGTGCGCAAATATCCGACTTTGTGTGCACGCTGGCGAACCCGATATAGATACCCCGGCACAGCAGAAGTGGTTTCGTAGGAGTGTAGGTCCACCACCCAGCACGTGTTTTCCCGTAACTGTGTTAGTATGGTATCCCTGTGGCTCACAGCCGCCATGAGTAGGCCTCCAGTTTTGGCGACATCAAGAGGAGTTCCTTATTGTATGTACTGCTACACCAACTACTGCCAACGCGATGGGTGGGAGGTTCTGCGCTGTTGAGGCGAATGGACTTTTGTTCTGTCTACTTCACTATCACTTAACTGCCTTTCTGCTGCCGATATATTTGCATTTTGGACGATGACCCTAATCATTGCAAGATTCAATCCTGAGGCCATGTTGAAGAATCTTAGGAACAGAAGCGATTCAAAATTGAACAGGTAGTTGTAGCACCACTGATGCATGCAAATTGAACACTGTTCTTTTTCCGGGCTTCTGACAGCTCTCTTCATCAACACCCCTTGGTGTGCTGCACAGTGCTGTGCACCTTTTCGTGGTGTGAAGATTACTGTCAAGGATGAATGAATGAATTTGACGATTTCTCTTTTCCATACTAGTGTACTGCTTGCGTCCTTAACTGGAGGCGGCTTACCTGGTAGATAACCCTCGCGAATGCAAGATGTAGAGGCCGCTGCAGTACAAGCCATGCGAGACCTTTTACGAGAAAAGCGGCAAGCATGCATCAAAGCATGATGGAGGAGGCAGCAGTGGAAACAGGGGTTGAAGGGGCCCCTGGCATTTAAAGTTGCAGCTCACACAAACTCTTATCCCATGTGATGTTCAAAAATCCTATTTGAATATTTGCTATTGGCATAAAGCTCTGCATTACACGGCTCTCCAAATACGCTCAGGCAGGGTGCTGTGCTAGGAAGTCCCTTCCCTGATTGCCAATCGTACTAACCACCGCAGAGGTTCTAGCTCTCAGAGCAGCAGATAATACACTGGATTCCGTAATGCGCTGCAGCACCGTCTATTTGTACTGTAGGTCCATTCATCAGGCAAGCTATTACACACTTCTTTGGGCTGTTTGATTTCGATGACACCGGCCTGCTGTTGATATGATCCAAAACCATTTCTGGTGTCTGATTAGCTGGTTTGTGCAAACCTTAAAATAGCGGTAGGAAAATCCCTCGTTTGCAGTTTTGATTCCAAAATATGGCCCACATGGAGCCCGTTTTAACCTCAGCTGTCAAGTGGAATAACCACAGCTGCTACAGCGGACTCTGCAGGAGCAGCTATGGTTGCTGCTGCAGTTGCAGCATGCGTTGCAAGGTCACCTGCCGCAGCACCGCTCCAAAGCCGTGCCAGGGCTGTTGGTTTTGCTTCTTCTGGCGCTGCATTGTGTACAGAATTTCCAAAACGAGGCAAGCAATGGCTTGGGTCCCCTATAAATGCATGCTCAGGAGCGGCAACCTTCTCAGAATGCGCCTAGTGATAGGGATTCTTCATAGCAGAAGCCCTCTCATAGACTACCCGAAGTCCCTATGGTGACCCCCACTTTGATGAGACCGCCCCATTTTTAGAAGTGGTTTCCTTGGCTTCCAGCTGTATAGATACGTTGGCCATGCCTGTCGTCTCTAGGGACTACAAGGGCTAGGGACTACAGCTAATCTAAACAGGCATGCAGAACGGATTTATCGAAGAGAGCTGGAAGCCCTTCCACACCAAGCAAGGACTGCCACGCAAATGTAATTGGCCAACGTTTGCATGTGTCTACGGGCTGCAGATGAGCTGGGGCAGCAAGACAGGGGAATGGCTGGAACGCTGGAAGAGCAGCCCCAATCCTTCGGATTGGTGCACTTGAGAAAAAACCCACGCCTCACGAAGAGGTGATCGGGTTCATGAGGAGGCAATCGTGCATTAAATAAAATACAGGAAGCAACAGTGGGGCATACGTGAGTGCGATGTCCGTGCCTGCTAAAATAGGTTGGGGAGGTCAGGCGGCAAAGACACACCATAACAGCGAACTGCCGTTAGCATTGCATAGGGGGCACCCAGGTGACGCTGCTTCCTCTGTTGCTCCCGGCAGTGGCGGTCTTTAAGATATACCTATAAACTCGGTCGTGGTAGAGAGAAGTGAGCCCATTGTTATTATTGATGATTGTGCATTTGATGCTGGAAGCGTCGTCCCTTTGCGCGCTCGTTTACCTGTGTGTCTGTGAGGCAGAGTGTCTGAACTGCTACCGCTCAACTTGGATGACCCACGACCCCCGTCTCCGGGTAATGTCCTGCGTCTGTATTTCTCCTAGGAGGTATCTTCTCCTAATTGCGTCCCTCTCTACTCCTCCATATCCCTGTCTGCCATGTGTTTCCTGTGTTGTTGTGGACTTGTCTCTCTGTTTGTATCTGTCCCTACGCAACTGCATGCGTATTGACGCCGGTTCCACCCTTCTGTGTGGCATACTAGCAGCATTTGCTCATTTGTGCTGCTGCCTCTGCCGTTGCCTTCTCACTCCATGTTGTTGTTTCTCTGCCGCTATCTCGTCTGGCTTTGATCAGCATCCGAATAATCAACCACCCACTCGGGAGGACTTTCTCGACGAAAACCCATACTATCTATTTTGTCAGCAAATTCAGACCAATCTGCAAATGCACGCATCTCTCAACGTGCATGCATTGTGCGGAACCATATACAAAATACACAGATAGCCGAGCAGTACAAGCACACCCACTAACACATTGCATGCACGCAACATTGATAAATGCACTTTTGTCCAGGTATGCGTTAGTATATGAATATAATGAATGTATATATGCATAAACAGGCACGCACCACCATTTAACTAATACACAAATTTAAACCTAGGCGGCTGCGTGCAAGATATAGAGAGCTACATATAGATACATACAACAAAATGCACAGAGGGTTGACGCACGAATGGAAAACATGCCCGCTCATCAATATCACAATTAGGGAACCTACAGGAAGGTAAATTTCTAGATAAACAATGGGCACTCGTTACAGGAACCAAAATACGCAACACCACAGAACTAGCCAATGCAAATACACAGATACGACAAGGAAATACCCTCATAAGGCCAAAACACAAGAAGTGCCAGTGCATTCTACATACACAAATACTCTACGTTCAACAAAGAAACCCGAGCAACGAGACACTCTAGAAGCCAATACACTGACGTGTAAACGCGCCTCACGCATACGCGCATGCAAAATACAAGCGTACAAGGCCAATACTAACGACGCAAACACAAACATACACAATAAGATGGGATAACGCACAAAACACGACAAATAAGCAGCTTCCATCTTGGACACCAGCCAACACACGAACACACATGCGCTCATACAGATAAACAGAGACAACACAAGAAATACAGTCACCACAACAGAAGCAAATCCAACTAAACATACAAAGACAATACAGACAAATGTAAAAAAACGGGCACTGGGGAACGCAGATACAGATACGAACACAACCACACAGCCGCCAACACAAATCCATCAACACACACACACACACGAATGAAAAGGTAACAATGCAACGCCCCAAATAACTCCGCACGGCCGTGGGAATTTGTTGCATTTCTAGGCTTATATGGCGAAGGTTTTGAGCAAGTTCTAGTACGGTGTAGTACTAGAACAACGGCTTTCCAACCCTAGGAGAACAGCTGGGGAAAGAGCACTAAAGAATAAAAGCATGGAGGAGCGCATGCCGACCCAGAAATACACTTAAACAAACAGTCGAAAACAACTGCAGGCCTGCTGCAAGTACGCTTATGCTCAATCTTTCGTACAAATGTACACAACAGTGGAAACGTAGGCTCAGATGTTTCCTAGACCGTCCACGCACAAGACGCACTAACAGAGCTGCTGCAACAGCAACCAACCTTTTGCACTGGTAAACGTAGCAGTTTCGGCAGCAGAATCAGGGCAGCAGGCGCATTTTGTGGTGCACGTACAGGAAGTGGTGAGCTCGGCGTCCCCCGAGCTGTCATCAGTGTGTGCACTGGGAGCCTATGCAATATTCTTCTTACCGTGCTCTTGTTCATCAGCGCCTTCGCCTGGTGCACCTGTGAACGCGGAGCCCTCCGGAAGCACCGGGGCAGGATAAGGAGCGTCTTCAGCTGAGGCAGTGGGTGGCGGAGGAGGGGCAGCAACATCTCCTGCTGGAGCAGCAGGTGCTGGAGCAGCAGGTGCTGGAGCAGCAGGTGCTGCGTCATCTCCTACTGCAGCAGCAGGTGCTGCGACATCTCCTACTGCTGGGGCAGTGGCGCGGTCTGCTGCTGCTGTCCCAGAAAGCCAAGGCAATGAACGTCCCGAGAGCAAATTCGCCTAAACAAAACAGCAGGAGCAAAAGAAAAAGGGATGGCGACGTTTTAGGGACAGGATGTTCCGAAGAATACACCAAGAGAATACATCCAGAGGCAGCCACGGAGAGGGTGGAACTGCCCTATATTGCAGCAACTGTAGATGAATAAGGAAGGCAAAAGAGAAGGAGACAGTGGAAAAGAGACACCCGCTGTAGGCAAAGATTGGGAGACCACGGCAGAGACGGAAACAGACACAGCAAGGAAGAGACAAAAGACAGTTCAGGCCAAAATTGTCAGTCGGATGCAAAAAAGGCTGGAAACAGATATACAGACGGACAGACGAGCAAACAGGGACAGGCGGGCTCAGACAAAAGAAAGAAGGATTTAGCGGCAAGGAAAGGAGCCCAGGGGAGACAGAGACACAAACCCAAAACCATATAGAGGCCAGACAACATAAGACAGAGGTTACGAGCCACCGAGGCAGAGGCAGACGGAAGCGAGGGGCAGAATAAAGCAAACCAAGACAAAAATAGGGGCACAATGCTACCGAAAGGCACGGACAGGAGCTAATTGGCGCTTACGCGGCGATTTACAGCATCATAAAGATAGGTAGATAGCGACACACACACACACACAGAAAGAGAGGGCGGCAAAAGAAAAGGTCAAAAGGAGTACGAAGACAGGCATATGCTGGCAAAATGATGTTACAACCCTACCGGTAGGAGGCCTCTTACAAAGAAGTGGGAGGCGAGGAGAATTCCAAATAGGGCCAACAAGATTGTAGTTCTCAGTTTGAAACGCCCCCCAACCCTCAAATTCCTGCGCGCCTCCGATGAATCGATGTCCTGTAGGAGGCGGTCCACGGACGGGTCCTCCTCCAGCTGCACTTGCTGCACTGGCTTAGCAGGGCCCGCTGCTACTTCGGGTATTGTGGGGGATCCCTCCGTAGCCTGCATTTCTGGACGACCAACGTCAGTTTCTTCTAGTAACTCCTGAAAAGCAAAGCACGACAGACACCAAAGGGAGGTTCTAGGTACCCAAATCCTGGTGCTGCAGGAGACAGGAGCTGGAGACCCTACTTCCTGAACTAATTTCACTGTTGCTCGCAGAAAAGAACCTGCTGCTGGTACGGTCACTACCGGCTGCTATGCTTGTTCTGCTGCAGTGATGCTGCTGCTGACGATCCTGTGGTAAACAACGGCTTGCAACCCATGAACTCACACTACTCCTGGCACTCCTGCCTCTACCACTTCAGTCTCCAAGAAAGCTACCGTTGAAGCTAAGAATTTAGGGCATATATATATATGCAATACGACAAACCGGAGTTGACCTTCACCATCGCGGCTGTGGGGCTAGCCGGGACGCTGAGGCACTGACGCACCTCGGGGGCTCAAGGCCATACAGAACTGTTTTGGTTCTCTTTTTGCTATACAATCTTGAACGAGAGTTTGTAAATTGGCTTAGAAACTCAATTAGGATTATTGTATGAGTAAAAACCGACCTTCCCTGCTTAACCCCTTAGGTACTTCAATTAGCTTGCTCTGGGAGACTCGGTAGTGGCGGGCTGTGTTCCTTCTGGAGGCGCTCCCCCTGCTCCCATCACTCCTGTTAATAGGAGGAAACGGGATGGCAATACGCATATCCCTCATTAAGAAGCCATTAACAAAAGGAAGGGACGCTTCCAATCAGATAATAGAGTGCGCTATTTGCAACGGCAGGAACTCTAGTATACAGAGGACAATCGGCGGCGATTACGTTAGTCCTGGTACAACATGGTACATCTGAATTGGTAAGCACGGCATCTCATTTCCTATCCCTAAAATAACCCAAATCAAAATAAAGCAAAACCAAACATCCACTTACTCTATATGGCCGAAGGATATTCAAAATAGATCTATATATGCCAGAAGGGGATCCAAAATCGATCTGTGTCCCCGTGGTCAGTGTAGTGGCCAGGCACAACAGTAAGCGCCTCCGCATCCCGACCAGCTCTTCGGCAGCGATGGAGCTCGTAGCCAGTTTGCCGTATTCCGTGTTTAAATTCCCCAAGTTATCGCAAATAATATATTGTTTCCTTTCGTAGAATGGACCCTTGGAGGCATCACACGGTGAACCATTCTGGTGCCGGTGCACTATCGAAGCTGCACCAGGACAGCAGTGGCAGCCGTTCCCGGCGACCGTCGGCTGCTAGGTATTAGCTGAAGCTGAAGGCACCGAGTGGTTGTGGACTTCCTGTGGAATAAATTGGTTATGTAAGCATTTGAAAAAGGAGCCCGAAATAAGCATGCAACAATCTCAAGATCCGTGGGGGCGTGTTCAGTGTTGCTCGGTGGCCTGCTCTTGAGTCAGCTGCATCTCAGATTTGTAGCATCAAAAGCAAATACGGGACGGCCTTTCATACATACATGCAACACGCACAATAATAGTCATTGTATTGTTCAACAATGGCATTGGTAGAATGCATCCGCGTGGCATGTCACGCATGTACAACGCTTGTTGAGCGCTGCTCAATGTATTTCCGCCCGTTTTCACGGCATGCATGAAAACTCTCATAAGTGTTTAAAGGCTGTCTTTAGTTACTGCATGTATCGGCACACCCAGGACTGCACGACGATATACCGCCTGCTAGCTGTGCGAACTAATGTTCCCGCAGCGAGGCTGCCTCCGGTGAAGCATAACCAGCCGGCCATTGGCGCCTTAGCGCTTATTCGGCCTTAACTGGTAGCCTGAGCTCAAGCAAGTTAAATGGTGGAATGTAGAATTCTTGAATAACTTCTTATTTTACATGCATGCAGCAGAGAAGACTTGGCTGTGCATGTGGGACTGTCTTGCAGCACCAGTTGCAACTCGTGTCGGGCCGTTGCCTCGCTTGTAGGAAAAGGCGCATGGGCTGCTGTGCGCTGGGCGTCTAACGTCTCTGGAGGGTACTCAACTGCCTTCAGGGAACTCGTACCATAACTTGTCACAAAACCCAAAATCCTGGAAGATTTTTTGGTCCTGTGCTCCCAATGTAACTTCCGTCTCGGTTTGTTGCGATGTTGACACCTCCGCATGCTTGCAAGCACTGTACCAAGAAGCTCTGCGTATAAAATGTATCCTAGTTGGGTGTGTTCATGGCTACTACATAACGCGCGTGTAAGGGTGTGTTTGTACTTTTAGGTCATATGTAAGCACCCAGAGGCGTAGCAAAATTATATGGATGCAGTTGCCTCGTAAGGTCGGATTGTGCCTAATGCAAATACGCTTAGTCGCCCACAATAAGCTCTTAAGGGCTCGAACATAAATCAACACAATACAACAGTATTTGTCGACCGCTTCTGTCGGTTCATCAACACAAATGAAATTTTTGCGCTCAGAAAAGACAAAACCCTTGAGATCTCCGTTGCAAATACAATGATGACGTTGCTACAGGGCGCAAAGGTGCAGCACCCGCATCCGCTGAGCAGCAGCAGCAGCAGCAGCAGCGGCAATGCTAAGCAGCCTCGCCTGTGGTGAGGGCCTTAAGGTGAGCGGCCCTCAGCTCCACGGAAGGCAGTCGGATCCACTGCGGGAGAAAGCAAAAACAGATGATGTACGAAAATATGGAGACACGGCAACGCAGATAGCGACACAGTTAGCGTACACCTCGTGGTTGCCTATCCATCTACTGTGAACCACCCCATTATATTACATAACCCTGCATAGGTACGCACCTGGTGTAAGAATATGGGAACGGCTGCCCAGTTGGTCTTCTGCAGCAGACGTAGCAGCAGGCGGCTGCGACCGCTGCACTGCTGCAGGTGCTGTTGCTGCAGCAGCAGGGGGTGCCCCTGAGAAGATGCCGCAACCGTATCCTCCTCCGGGACGCACACGAACGCCAAACCCGCAACCGGTGGGCCTTTCAGATTCGTAACTGAGGCATATGCAGCAGTAGCAGCAGCAGAAGCAGCACAGTGAATTTGTTTTCAACAGCAACGGCAGCACAAACCACCACGTTGGCATCAACGTTGTCAGGAGCGAAAATCCCACAGCAACCCCGTTTCGTACTGATATGTGCATAGACCCCACAACGCCTCAAGTGCTGTGCCCTGCGACCTCCAAAATCTCAGCGCCACTCGTCATGCACTGCCTCTGTCAAGTGGAGTTGTCGCCCATCAGCTGTTTTGGCCGCCTGCCACAGGTGGCTGATTGCAGCATCCGTCACTCGTCTCTATTTTCCGGTCGTCTCTTGGCGTCACATCGTCAGGGCTTCTCCATATAATCACGCCACTCACGTCAGCACGCAAGGAAAAGGCAACGCCCCATGAGAAACACTAATATACATGCAGAGATGCTGGCACATGGGAGTCCATCAGTATAGTCCACTACAAGTGTGCATGCGTTGCCTTGCCAAGGTGTACCTGGTTTCGCTGCAGCGGCAAAATGACAGAAGCCACAGGTAGTAAGCAGTGGCTGCAGTCCTGGAAGTTCTGCTGCTTCTAGGGCCTCCTTAAGCTGCACGTAGAGGGCACTGGAGACGAACGATGTCAGCAACAGCCGCTGCTGCTGGTGCCTGAGACCAGAGACACAGGCAGCGCTCGTGTCCCTTTGGGGTTGATGCCTTGGTGTGCACGCAGACACCTCTTGAAGTTGTTCTGTTTTGTCTGCAGGACCTGTGAGGACAATTTATCTTGCGGCCGCCGCTCACTGGCACCAAAGGCTAGTACGGACAATCCGCAGGAGCGTCCGTACTAGCCTTTGTTGTGCATTGCAATACGCGTGTACGCATACACCCAAATGAATGTGCATATGCGCACCCACACACCTGAGTGCATTTGAGTGAGTGCATGATTACACCTTGATACACTTACATATCTACAGGCAATGCGTATGCACGTGAATGCCCTCGTTGCACAGATGCATCCACCAGACATAGGCACACATCTCCCTATGTGTACATAGTCGGACACATATGCCTCAAGGACCATTTGCATGCGAGCATGCCTGCATCCGTGCTTGTCAGCGAGCGTGTGTGTGAGGGAGTCAGCCCGGTGCGTTAGGGTGTCTGAAGAGACATCATATGGAGAGTCGAGAATTCAGATGTACCAGAAGGCTTTTGGGGTATCTTGCTCGCAAAAGGCCGCCAGGTCCTCGTACTGTTGTATATCGATGCCAGAAGAGGCGCCTCCCAGCAGGTGAAGGGATTGAAAGGCTTCATACAACGCACAGTATACAGAGGGAGACAGCGGCGGCAGCGTTCCCCGCACACGAGAAGCCAGGACGCCTGCGATACAAAGGCGCTCACAATAGGGTCATACGGCACCGCACTAACGAGCAGAGACAGCGACATTTATGCCAGCTTAAGCAGGGGGCAAAGGCATAAACAGCCTACTGTCTCTTATGTGTTGCACGCAGCGAAAGAAGCAGGATATGATGCTGCAACAAACACACAGAGTAGCCTCCGCGGATGCTGTACAAGCTCATCAGCCAACAGCGACAACAAACAGAGACACAAACAGGGAAACACTCTACAGGGAAACACTCTACAGCTCAAACACCCTGTGAAATCCATGAGCCTCCACCTCCCTCACTCACAACCAGCAACACAGCTATGATTTCGGGTTTAGGACCTAGAATGTTTAGTCTATAGCTAGGCTGGGGTTTGCGCACGTGTCGGAGAAACACTCGCCCGTTAGGAGGCAATGAAGTATTGCGACCTCCGTTTCATCATCAAGTCCTCCCTCAATGCTTGGTGGTTGCTGCTGAGTGTCTGCGTTGTCCCCACGAGCAAAATGCCCCTGATACTTCTGCTGCTGCCACTGCTGCAGCAGGCTGCTGCTGAGGGCAGTGAGCTGTGGAGACGTGACGCCTAGCCCCCTGCAGCACCGCAGTCCAGCAAGCAGAGCTGCAGCCGCAGCCCGCGGAAGTACCGGGGAGGCAACAAGGCTGCTGTTGAGCCTGCAAGTGCACGTAGGAAAGAACTTTGATTATCCGGTGTCATGCAGTCGCATCGATAAACATTTGGAGTCTATTCTAGGTTCCCCTTCGGGGTGTACTCACACTGCCAACAGCAGACGCCAATAGCCCTACATACACACCCCCTGGTACTCCGCAGCAAAAGCAGAAGGATCTAAAAAATGAGCACGAGCAACAGCAGCAGCAACAGCAGCGCCACTATCACATCTGACCATGATATCAAACGCTGGAGAGACGCCTCCTGGCCTGTACAGCCTTGACATTCCAGCAGTGCCGAGAAGAGACTCGCAGCGTCCTGCAGCAAACCAAAATCCGAAATAGATGCAACGAATCTGGGGTGGAGAAAAACGAGATAACAAATAGAGAACAAGACAAGGGAGACAGCCTGGGTGGAGTCAAGAGAAACGCGGTGGCACTTGAGGAGGCCGTGAGGAGAGAAGACATTGCAGGGGCAAAGCAGTAAGCAGACAACAGGCCCACTAAGAACGAGGCCTTTTAGGGACAGCAGGGCAGCCCGACCCACCTCGAAGCGCAGAGATTGAACAGCGAACTGTTGCAGGGCAGTGAGAAGCGGTGGTATGTAGACAGCAGGTTCCAGGCAGAGGGCCGTGACAAGCCGCAACAGAGGGCTGAGATGCCTGCGTGCAGCAGCAACAACAGCAAGAGCAGCAGCCTGTACAGATGGCAGCAACGAGAAGCGTCTGCCGCGCAACTGCGTACGGAGTGGCACGGGTGTCAATGAGTGGAGAAGGAACGACACTAGGGCACGGGCAATAAGAAGACAAGCAAAGCCAAGAGGAGGAAGAGGGAAGAATACACACACAAAAAGATACACACACAGCAGGCACAGCTGCGTGGGCACAGGAGACAAATTAACAACCTAAGGGAGGGTGGAGTGCATTGTACGTACTGCAGCCCGTCTCGCGCGGTGGCAGGAGCCTCCAGAATGACATGCGCCACAGCATCGGGGAGGAGTGCGAGACGAGACTGAGGGGCTGTCTCCTTCGCATGCAAAACCATCTCCTTTAGGTTAGGGATGTCTACTAAGGGGGTCAGCAAGGCTCTGAGATCTTGCGGTGTCAAACGCCTGGAGTACAGGGCTGGCAGCAGCACCCGCAGGGCCAGTGAGAGAGACTCCGGGGGGGAGACAAACGCAGCAGCAGGAAACCCGCGCACAGCAGAAACCAGGCCCGAAGCGGAAGGAGAAATAGGAGACAGGCGGTTGCCTCCTGCTGGGTGTGAAGGGTTGCTGCATGATCCATTTGCTGCTGTCTCCTCCGAGTGAACGCCAAACAGACTAAGCAGCTTAGGAACGTGCTCGAGCTTCAGTACACAGTCTCTTTGCGGCCCCAGATCCTCCTCCTCCTCTGTCTCTCCCAAGAACTGGGGACGGCAGCCAGCTGCAATACGCAGTACGTGCTGCAGTGCATTAACGTAACAAACAGCAGGAGCAGGAGCAGAACAATGGGAGTTGCCCAAATGCCTGCAGCTACATATTGCTCCCCACCACCCCGACGTTACAGCCTTCTGCCGCCGCTGCACCATCATAGCGCGTACACGCTGCATAACCGACCAGCAGCATCCCCGGCGCTTCCAGAATCAGAAGCACGAGGATTACTAGTATCAGCGCTGGAGAGCAGCGGCAGTTGTGCACTGAGTGATGGCGTGCAGACACGTTCGGCTGTACTGCAACCCGACTAAGTACCCCGAAATGGGGCAAGGTCACTAGCAGCATGGATAGCTAGCTGAACGGTTAGCCAGCTAAATGCCTGGATAGCTGTACGGCTAGCTAGTTTGATGGCTGCTTACATGCCGCAGCTGGAAAGCGCCGAGTAACGTGGAGCCCCAGCCCCGCTGGAGAGAAACACCGACCTCCAGGAGCTGCTCCAGGTCTGATCGCAATGCATGCAGCCGCAGGACACAAATAATGCCCGCGCTTACCACAAAACTCAGGCACCAAGTTCCAGAGCATAGATCCTCTGGCTAGCTCTAGCTAGTTATCTGGGAAGTAGCAAGCACACGGGAGAAGAGGAGGAACAGACTAACTGTCTCTACAGGGGAACTCTGAACTACGAACAACTGAACTAACTAACTGGCTAGCCAGCAAACTAGCTAGCCAGCCAACCACCTAATTCGCTAGAGAACCAACCAGACTGATGCATTCGCACCGGTGCAATCCTCGCAGAGTCGTCGCAGTTGAATCTCGAGGCCCCGAACCAACGAAGGGGGGGGCGCCGCTGGCTGCAGCGGCACATGGGACAGCAGGAAGGACAGCAACAGCAGCAGGAACGAAAGGCCATTGGTCCGGGAGAGAAGCAACGAGGCAGCAAAACTATGAAGATGTCACTACCTGATATGCTGGCGCAGCAGCTAGCCAGGTTGTTTCGCCAGATATCTGTTTGCGCCTCACCGTCGGGAGCAGCAGCAGCGCGGATACAGCAACAGGGGACAAGGGGCGCTGCAGTCTCTCAGCTGCCGCCTGCAGCAATAGCCGTTCCAGGGGGTAGTTGCGATATCCATCTGCATGCACGTCATAACCCCAAATCCAGTGTGAGCCCTCGATGAGCCTGAAGCTGTCTGCGCGCTTTCGCAGGTGGTGCAACTGCTGCAGCTTCTGCCGCTGCAGTCATCGGGAGGTAAGGTGTACGTACAGGCCGTTGCAATTCTCGCTATGGCTGTGAAGGCCTCCGTCGAAAGCGTCTGCAACATCAGCTTTCCTGCAAGCAAAGGCTCAGGGCCTAAGTGTGCTGCTAGTGCCCTTCTGTCCTCCTCTGTAGGCCGCTCTGCTGAGAGGGTCTCCCCACCGTTTGGGTATGCATGGAGTTGCTGCCCCCCCTCACGCTGCTGCGTGGCGCTCCCAAAGTATGCACTTAAGAAACGTAGAACGAAGTTAGACAGTACTGAAGCTGCACCCCTGCTCTTCTCCGCCCTACAAAGACAGGAAGTTGCCTCCGCCGGCTCCGTGAGGACCGCGTGAGACACCCCCATCACTTGAAGGGGCGGCAGGCGCATGCTACCGCTCGATTCTGCGGCTGCTTCATATCCTGCCTCTCCGGGTGCTGCAGCAGCTGCTCTTGTTGATGCGGGAGGACCCGACGGAGTGACGACGCCTGCCTGGCGCTCTAACGGATGCAAATCTCCCCACAGTTCCGTGAAGGGGAGCAACTGAAAAAACAGCAGCAGGGGCAGTAGAAGCAGCAGTGGAAGCATTATGTGGGTCTCTTTCAATCTGCATTCGTTCGCTCAGTTGTTTTGAATACCTGCCGACGCTGTTGCCAGTGTGCAAGCATGCTAGCTAGGGGCATCTGCTTCAGCGGGAGATTGTTCATACAGCAGCCAATTCGCTATCCCCCAAGCAACAGCAAACAGGGTATAACCAGTGGACGCACGGCGCTACACAGATTTGCAGCATGGTGCAGCTCGAAAGAGTCCAGGCGACGTAGGAGTGCCCCCAGCAACTCTTGCTGAAGGGGAGAGCGAAGGCTCAGAGCGGCTACGTCTGCAGCATCCGCACCAGCATTCGCAGCAGCAGCAGCAGCAACCGCCATGAACAACGGAAAAAAACTAGGTGATGACTCAAGAGATAGATAAAGAAGTTTCACAAGGGCCCACAAGGTTCAAGGCGGCGGCACTGGGGCACCAGATGTCTGTACGATTGCGTTTGCAGGGGCGCCAGAGCAGCCTCCGAGACAGCGCAGAGTAGAGCAGAGTGAAGATATACCTCAGCCACCTGCGCAGAAAGAGATGCAAATGAGACAGGAAATCGACTTATATGCAACAAGGTGACATTTAGGCGAAAACAAAAGCGACAGAAGGAGAGCTTCAGCAATTGATGTAACGCAGGCGGCTGCCGAAAGGCCCGCAAAACTTCGGGGACGATAATAGAGTGCTGGACCAAGGTGTATCCGAATGGACTGGGGGGGAAGTACGCAAAGAAAACCAGCAAACGCGCTGCAGCGACAGCGGCGAGGAGAGTGCACGCCGACGCCTACGATAGGATATAGACAGCCCAACAGGAAGCCAGAGACGGGCACACAGGACACTCGCACCAGCCCTCGTGCAGGTGCTAAGTAGCAAACACAACCCCATAGGATGCTGACCTGCAGCAACGCCTCCACAGGGAGACAACTTAATGAACCAGACAGAGACGGCCAGAGCTGCAGCTGCAGCAGATGGAAGTCAACAGGCTGAGATGCCTGGAAAGCAGGGGGGAGCTGCGTCTGTGAGAAGATAGCCGCACAACCAGAGGGCAGACTCAAGAAGCATTTGCATCAAGCAGAAAACGGGTGCTCAGCTACTGCCGTTAAGCTACCTGATGTTGCTTCTGGTGTTATTGCTGCTGCTACTACTAGTGCTGCTGCTGCTGCTGAGAAGGGACCGTCCCTCACCTGGAGCTTGCGAATACCCCCCAACAGTAACAGTGCCTCAGGGGTTGCCAATATCTCCGCCTGTAGCTGGATGGCCTGGAGAGCCTTTTGCATCAGCAGCACAGAGAGGCCCTGTGCACCGAAGCAGGCAACATGGCATCGCTACCTAGCTAGTCGGCGCCAGCTCCCTGGGAGCTACTGGCCGACCTGCCTAGCTAATGAACAACCCCCTAGCATTTCGGAGTCGGCCCCATCCAGGATACATAAATGGCAAACAGCTGGGGCGCAGCTAGCTAGGTGAAAGTTAAACAGACGCAAGCTAGCTGTATGACAACTAGCTAGGAGACAGCAGGCTCAGAAAACTAACTGTCGCCTAGGCGAGCCAGCGAATCGTTCGACCACGACTAGCCGCATGGCCAACGACTGCTACAGAACGCCCGCTGCGCCTGCTCCTCACTCACTGACTAGTGCATGGTTAGCTATCTACCTGGCTAGCTTGGGCCCGGATATGTGGAAACGGAACCTACAGGATTAGCAGAATCGAACACTTCGCCGAAAAAGCAACAGAGACGCCGCAGCTGGAGACGCTGAAAAGAGTCTCCCCTGTGCAAGACAAGACAAGTCACACACAGCGTCAAGCAGTAACAACAGCAGCAGCAGCTGCTGCTGCAGCAAGCTGGCTCTTACCCAAGACAGTTCTTCAAGCTGCTGCAGAGACCCAGTTCAGCGATGCAGGCAGTCGCCGGCAGCAGCGAATGAAAGCGAGGCCTGATCAGACATTCTACAGTCCTCATGAGTGATGGACCCACTGCCAGGGCGCCCTGCTCCTGCTGCTGCATGCTGGCCTTATGGTTCCCCTGTTGCAGGTGTTGCTGCAGCTGCAAGCAAGCCCGCTGGGCAGCGTGCGCCTGTAGCTCCAGCAATGGAAAGGCAGCAGCAACCTGCGGAGATACGATCTGTGCGAGCAGCAGAACAAGGCAGGACAGCAGCAAAAGCACCAGCACCAGCAGCAAATTCGAGACCTGCCGCAGAAACGGAAAAACACCGTTAGCAGTTCCTCCTAATATCTGATACCATGCATTGCCCCAACAACAGCAACAGCAACATCAGCAACAGCAGCAGAAACGGCAGCAGCAGCAAGTGCATCCCACAGCGATGAGGTCTTGTGTCCATTGCAGCACCGCGGGGCAAATAGGCTGAGGCAGAGGCACTTCTTTGAGACCTTCTGCTGCTGTCTTGATAGCAGCAGCCACTGCCGGTGCTCGGTTGAGCTGCTGCTGCTGCACCAGAAAACTCCCGCCCTGCTGGTGCTGCCGGTGAGGATGAAAGGCAGCAAGCAGCAGCAACAAGACTTTCCTGAGAGGCAAGGGCATTTCACTTGCCCCTGCTTCTGCAGCTGCTGCAGCTCCTACTCCTGCTGCGGCGGGTGCAGGATTGTCGAAATTGTGATGTAGAAGAGTTGATACCCCTGCAGGGTTTACAGGGGGCCCAGACATTGCATGAGGCAGCAGCAACAGCAGCTCGAGCAGCACCAGCTGTTCTTCGTCTGTCCCAATAGCAGCCTCAAGGGAGCTGACAGCTACAGGATTCACGCCAAACAGCTGCAAAAAACGCGCATATGGCTGAGCTGGGCATGATAATGCTGCTGCACCTGTTGCTACTACTGTACCAGTTGTTCCTGCTGCACCTGTTGCTGTTGCTGGATGTACAGATTGTCCAGGGCCCCACGAGCCCCCCTTCTGGAGATGCGCATCTGAGATCCTTTGTTCTTGCTGCTGCAGCCATTGCTGTTGTTGCTGCCGTTGCTGTTGCTGTTTCCACTGCTGCTGTTGTTGTAGCTTGTTCCTACAAGGCAGCACGACAAAGCAGTTCTGAGAGGCGGAAGTCGCAGCAAACTCCAACCAAGCCGACCGGCCCAATGCATGCAAATGCTGCAGCAGCTGCAGCAAATGGCGGGGAGGCAAGGGCTGCTGCAAAGCCGTTAGCAGTGGCAGTAGCAGCTGTCTCTGTGCCACAGCAGACTCAAAGAAGACGCCTGAAGATGTAGGGGGGGCAGAAGAAGCAGCAGCGGCTGTATGGTTGCTGCTTGGCACTGCTGTCCCTGCATTCAGGCTTGCATGAAGCTGCCTGCATTGACAGCTAGGTGCCCCCAACCGCCACTCTCCAATCTTCTTGGGGACCCCGGGTTCTTTTGTTCTCAGTTGCCTGACTAAACTTCGAGGTGGCTCACTTCTTGCAGCAAGAGCTGCTCCTGCTGCAAAAATTCTCCCTGCAGTTGCTGACGGGTATGGCGTCGAAGTGCTACACCGGACCCAAATCCTACCCCACCTGCCTGAGAATTTCGAAGACACTGCAGTGCTGCCCCCCGGAGCAGCGGTGGGAGCCCCCAGCTCGCGGCAGCCCTGCCCGGTGGGAACTTGTGGAACTTGGAGGGAGGAGCTGGTGCTGCTGCTGCGGTTGCTGCTACTTGTGTTAGAGAGTTTCTGGAGCAACGCGCTGCAACTGCAGCGGCAGCAACAACGTGCGCCTGCAGCAACAGCGGCGATGCTGTTGGGCCTCATCTCGATTTTCTGCGGCAGCCCGAGGAGACCTCGGGCAAATATACACCGCGTCACAGTGCAGTGTAGGAAGTAGCAAATTCCCGTCGGTGCTCCACATGCACCGAAACTCCTCTCCGTCACTGCAGAAACATGCTTGGGAAAACGACAGCGCTAACCACCCAGGGGCCCCCCAGAGGGCCCCCCCAGGGCCCCACGGGGGCCCCTGCGCAGCCATGGGAATAGTTTTCGATGGAGGTTGGCATAGCCTGCTCTCGGTTTTGTTTTTATGTCTTCCATATGTGGAACGTTTTGATATGTGTGTTTCTCGATTAGGGTACCCAGGCAGCAGGAGCAGGACAAGCTGCCGCTGCCGCACACACTCAGCAGACGAAGCACGGAGAGAACGAGGGCTTCAGCAGCAAAAAGGACACGTTCTAATTCCTTTCTGGTCTAGTCCTTGTTTTTCGTATGCTCTCGAAGAACAACTGAGGAAGGAGTGGGGCTCCATATTCTACTAGCGCATCGAGACCGCTCGCAGCGAGTGGCTGGGCTCCCGAGACGCCTACTGCTGCTGCTGCCGCTGCTACTGTCTCTGCTGCTTCTTCTGCATTGCGGCTGCAGCAGGTGCTGCATAGGGAAGAAACAAGGAAGGGAGAAGAAGGGGCTTCACGGGCTAGAGATGGTGCTTTGCGCCAGGGCACCCCAAGGGGTGGCCTGCAAGGCAGCCAATCTCGTGAGGTGTATACTGGCCTCCTACCTGCCTGCGACGGCCTCAAGCGGTAGTAGCCGTCCAGAAGCAACGGCAACACCAGCAGCAGCAACACCTTCGGTAGGGGCAGAAAGGGTGATGCTAACATTTTTTGTTGGTGCTGCTCCTACAACTCATGTGCATCAGCATCGATATCATCAGTGTCTACCTCGTGCAGCTGCCAGACACCTCAGCAGCAGCAGCAAGAATGTCAGCAACAACAGCAGCACCAGCAGCGGCAACAGCAGCAGCAACCACTGGCAGCCCCCCTTCGGCCGTCGTTCACGCAGCCGTGACTATGACCCGCCTCTCCGCGCCGAATTCGCTGCATCTGAAAGGTCAGCACTTTTGCTCTTATGCTGCTTCTGCTGTTGCTGTTTCTGCGCTTGAGGCTTAGCATGTCTTTATTGCTGTCTCTTTTGCACGAACTCAGGCGGGAGCGCATGCTCCGGTCTCCTGCCACCACAGGAGGATGGTCTCCCTCCTGGACTCCTTACAAACCACCTGACAGAGCAGCAGCAGGTGCTGCACCAACAGCAGCAGCAGGACCACGAAGCGATCAAGAGATGCGGTCGCCGTGTGTCGGTTATACCGTACCGTACAGATTCAGAGTAGAAGACGCCTTGAGTCCAGAAGAAAAAAAGGCTCAGAAGTAGGGTCTAGGGTCTAGGGTTTAGACGAGAGAGAGTAGGAACGCGGGCGTAGGGTTTATGGTTTAGAGGTATGCGATCTATATTGCCGGTTTAAGGCTGTGAGGCTTAGAGCCATGTGCTGGAACTGGGCAGGACAGGGCATATAATGCAAGAGTGTAGGGTCTGAGATTACGGGTTTGATGTTTGTGGTATACAGACTACCGCCCCTAAATCGCCCTGCTAGCGGCTTTTTGACCTACACGGATTTTTCTGGCAACCGCTTGCCTACCCTGGACACTGCGGAGAACGTGCGCTACTGGCAGGTGGGTTTCCATTGTGCATCTCTTTTCTCCTTTTAAACCTGTTCGTCTCTTTGTGTCTCCTTCTGTGTTCCCTGCCCGTCTCCTGTCTTCTGCTGTCTGGCGTTTCCCCCTCCCGATCCCTTACGTCTGTTTTCCTTCGTCTTTTGTGGTCGTTGGGTTTGGCCCTCGTCGCTGGCGCGTGTGAGCATTGCGCGATTCATGTTTTGGCTTTTTCACTCTAGCGGCTGCCCCTAGCCGCACTTACTGCACTTGTGCTGCGCTGAAGTGTACATACACGGGAACGGCTGTCTCTGCTTGCAGGACGATGGCCTCGACCGTCTCTTGCCTCGCGTCTTCCCCATTCATCTGCCTCCCCACCGGCGGATAGACCCTCTCTTTAGAGAACTGATTTTCTCTTTGGCTCAGATGGACCCTAGGCGGTTCAACGTCTCCGCCCTAGCCATGCGATACGGGTAACATCTATTTTCAGCAGATTGACAAAAAAACAAATGCATGCGATGCACAGTGCAGCAATAATAACTAAAGTGCCTAACACTTATTTAGAACTTTTTCGCCCACCGTTTTTCTGGTAGGCTAGCTGGTTTTTCTCTTGTTTAGCATCTTTGTTTCCCGTGGCTTTTACTTCAAACGCACCCCCCCTCGCCAGTGTCTTCGTATGAGTGTGTTTGGTTGGTTGCTTGGTTGCTTGCGTGCTTGCTTGCCTGCCTGCTTGCCTACCTGCTCGCCTGCTTGGTTGGTTGGTTGGCGTTTTCGTCTGTTCGTCGAATTGGCTGTTTGCTTGCTACCTGGCTTGCTTGTTGGCTCCTCTTGGAGTCCGCTTGTGTATTTGTTTATTTTTACGTTGTGTAGAAGCCTGTTTTACTGCGACGGTTTGGTGCAGTCTGCGCGAGGCGACAGTCCAGAAAATAATAAAAGAGTTCAGTTTGTCTCAATTCCTGCGTCGAAATAAGTGGGGCTGCATCTCCTCGTAAAACGCCAAACCCCAATGGCTGTTCCTTGTTGGTGCTTTCGCCTGTCTTCTCTTTCTATGCACAAGGGCCTTTTGCTTGTTTCCGTTGCCCCTGACTGGAAGCACTACAGGCTGATCCTTAAGAATCTCTCGGGCTCTTATGGGTTGGATGGTGTGGTTGTGTCTTGTGGCTGTCTCGCTGTCTCCTTCAGGCTCGCAACGGAGTCCACCAGAAGAATTAGTCGGGCCGAGGCGGTCATGAAAATGAAGGAAATAGTCTTCAAACAAAAATTGGGTGGGTCTTCATGCTGCCTCCACACGCGTGCAATAGCAGTTCGACTGCTACAGAGCCACCAGCCAAGTAGCTGTCGAGTAGGCTGGCAAGAAAGAGAGCTTATTGCCTTGCTTGTTGGCTACCTGGCTAGGCAGCCGGTGAGCCGGTAATCGTGTGGTTTTGCTAACTAGCTACGGAAGGATTTGTCCGTTGGAACCCTTAAAAGTACAAAAGGTCTTTGAGGGTTTTCGCTTCAACGTGGGAAGGCTGAGATACAGGAAACAGGTGCAGTGGCGGGATATTCTGCTAGAGCTCACATGGTTGCTGCACCCCGAAGCACAAGAGGAAAGGGGCGGTCGGCCTGTGTGTCTTTGCTGAACTTTCTTGTTGCCTTTCTGCCGGTGATTGCCGGGAGTACTGCCGTTAGGTATCTTTCTCTTTTCCGTTCTACTGTCTCCTTCGTGTCTTCTTCGATTTGCTTCTCAGGCTACGACCAAATGGGGACAGAAGAGATCGACTCGCAAGAAGAAAACAAATTCGAAGGTCTGTCTACTACTTTCTTGGAGCCACTAGAGTGTGCAGTATGCAGCTAGCCACATGTGAAGGGGCGGCGTCGCTTTGAGTGTCCAGGCAGGTCCGCTGCACCAGCAGAGGTAGGTTCTGCATTTGGTGCCGCTGTGTAAAGCTATTCAAAGGGCGTGTTTGTTATCTGCTTGCAGGATGGAAAAGCACGTTTGACTGGGTGATGAAGCAGCACATCGAAGTGGAGACCCTTTCAGCCTTTCCTCTGCCGGCGAGGAGGTGAGTTCCATCATTTTCTCTTGCGCCACTTTCCGAACGACGCTGAGCACCACTAGTTAGTTTTGTTGTTTCTGGGGAGCACAGCACGTTCCAGCAGACGTAGCTATCTACCCATCAAGCGAGTCATGTATCACAGTAACACGCCAGCCATTCACTAGGTAGCTAGCTTTCTGGGTGTGAGTTGTTGGCTCGGTGGATCCCTGCAGAGACCCTGTCCCAAAGAGGGTCGATGTCGATGTCACAGTGCACAACACGGCGAACCTCAAAGTCATTAGCTGGATTGACCCGAACGAGAAAGTAGTGTTCTAGGGGACCCCATTCGGGAGATTGTCTTCTCTGGATACCCCCCAATGTGCAGACAGCAGCCTTCAGTGGCTGCGCGGTTTCTAGATAACCTGCCTGCTCCGTCTCGTTGTTAGCACCATCGAGAGGAGTTAAAGTGGCTAGGAGCAGTGGCTAGTAAAAGACTTATCTGTCACTCACAAATCAGCCTTTACGAAAGTAGGAATACGTTTTCGGACGACCCTTACATGTACCCACAGAAGGCAAGCTTGTAGCAGTCTGCTGGAAGTGCGGGCTTCGCTGTAGGCGTTGTTGCGCAATGGCGGCGACGGAGACGCTTTCAAGTCCTCTTCAATAATTCGTTTGGTTTTAATTAGTAATTGTCTCACGTTTTTGGTATTGAGCTAACAACGGAAGCATATGCTGCGCCCCTAGGTGCATGCAGATAGCCCCACAGCACAATGTTTCTCCCCCATCCACGGCGCAGCACAGTGCAGAAGGGGGCACGCCCTCTGACGAGCTTTTGTGGCATTTGTTGTTTTCTGCCACTCTGTGGTAGGAACAGCAAATCCGTTGACGTAATTTCGGCGTTTATTCTTCTTTTTCGCCTTTTTGAAGGTATATGCATATACACCGCCTAACTGCAGTGGAGGTGCCTGCCCTGCTTGGCGTGGATAGAGTTTCCGGATCGGGTGGGGAGCACCGAGACCAGAAGTTGCACATTCCTTTTTTTCGTTGTTGTTCATCACCCTTCAGATGAGTCTTTTGCGAGATAAACAACTTCAGAACAGCTGATGACAGGTGAGGCACAAGCCGGCAGCGGCCTCTAGAACCCGGCGGTGCACCCGACCGCCCCACATGTTGACATCTGAACTATCAATTGCTTCTGCCTGTTCCAGTTGTTTGCCAGCTTTTCTCTTGATCTAGAGGGAAGATCTGCCTGGTTATCTCTCCGGTCTTCCGTTGCATTTTCTTATTTGCCACGTGGGTTCCCCATGCATGCTATCTGGGTGTTCCGTGGGTTTCTGTGGAGCCCATTTCAGCAGTAGGATGATAACGATGGAAATCACGGCTCTGCCGTTCTGCTTAATGATGAATATTCCATCAATGCTGCCTTCCTTCTGATCCGCTGTATGATCTTTTGTTGTTAATTGAGGGTGGGACTGTTTTGTGGCTTCCTGTAGTTGATTTGTTTGAGGTAGCTGTTGCCATTGACCATTTCTCCATAGCGCTGGGATGTAGCAAAGAAATCCAACACTGACTCCACAATTTTGGAGAGACCAATTCAAATCGAGCTTTTTAACCCTGAGCACTTTGGCACTTGCACCTGTTTATTATTATTCCCTTGGGGTTTTCTTTTTCATTGTTCCTAGTAGTGAGGTTTCTGTTGTAAGCGTTACTGGAGCAGCGGATGAGTCTGCTTTTCTTGAGTCTTATGAAGACAAATACGAAATTTAATCCTCTAAGAAGTGCTGATGTTTCCTACATATGATTTATTGCGGTTTGACGTTGAGGGCTGCAACGGATGAGTTCCTTTCTGTCAATCATCTGATTCTTGAAGACTACTTTCCCACGTCTTTTCTGATTGACAGCCCTATTCTGTACTTCGTTGTCAGTCTCTACTTGGTGTTCGAAGGCCTCGTCTTCCTTCTTTTAGAGGACGGCGGCTCAAAAACACCGCACAAAAACCTTGGCTCCACGGGTGGCAGAGCTGCTGCTGCTTCCAGCAGCATTTGTCAATATGTGCAGCCGCCAGCAGCATCTCCACTCGTACCATGTATGGTCTTTTATCCCCCTGTGTGATCCGTACGATTGTAATTATTCGTGCTTGGCGTGCCTTCTGCGTTTTTCCGGCAGTTGTTCTATCGTTCACTAATTCCCCTACTTTCGACAATTTCTGCACTGTGTGTGTATTGTTTCTTCTGCAGCCTGCTGACACTGCGTGTATTTTCTGGGAGTGGTGGGCAGAGCACACCTCATCGTTCATACGGGGTTGATGCTTCTTCTATTGCCTTAGGCGGAGGAAGTCGACTCAGCCTTTTAAGTTGAGGGGAAAGTCCCCGGGCCTTCAGGCCGAGAGGGTCGGGATTAACAGTCCGCCAGTTTGGCAGCGAGCTTCGTCCCGCTCAGCTGGCTAGCTAGTTGGGTGGGCCCCTGCGACCGAGTACGGAAGGAGGGGATAAGCAGCTCCAGACGCCTTGCAATTGGCAGTTGAGGTGTTCTGAAACCTTAGGATGCCGCGTATCAGGATTCAGTTGATGTGCTCAGCGCGATACCGCGCCAACAGAATGGGGCTTACGTCCTGCACACTCCCTTTTCTACCACCAGCAGCAGGGGCTGCTGTTTGTTCTGGACATTCGTAAAGATCCCTCTCATCTGCGCTATATTTGCGCTTTCGTGGGATGTGCTAGAGGTAGTTAGCGCGAGGAGGAGCCCGGCGTTCTCTGCATCCATACAGGGCATTGGTTGTTGCTGCGCGGGCGGCAACATCGGCAAAGCCAAACAGCAGAGGGGAGGGTCTGGGATGCCTCGAGCCTGCGAGAGCGGGGAGGCCGACAAGGCCTCAGTCTTTCACCAGCAAGCTTCTGCTGCATGGTTGCTGTCGCAGCTCTTTGTCCCTTGTTGAGCCGAAGCAGCAGCAGCAGTTTCACGTTGCAGCAGATTGTAAGAGAGACAGGCAAGGGGACGGCTTGTGCGCTGCGCTACAGTTCAGCGCAGTGCTGCTGTCTGTGAGTTCAATCGCCGGGGTGCTCCTGCGTGTACGTACAGCAGACTGCATCCAAGCGCTATGCAGTCTGCTGTAGGTACAGCAGAGTGTAGACCGCTAGGACCCAGCTGTTTGTGTGTATATCGGTGCAAACTGTTGATCCAGACTATTCCCTTCTCGCGCTTCCTTCTCTTGCCAACCAACCGTTTCTTTTTTAATTCGTCAAGTCTAGAGTATTTTTCATTGTCCTCAGTTCTTTTAGCTAATAGTTTCTATGGAAATATCTAGATTTACAGTATACTGCTTTCTAAGTCTTCCATGCTGCTTCTGCAGCCTGCACAGTTCGTTGGCTGCTACAGTCTGCCTGCGCTTCAGCACCAGAAGCGCGGGGCTGGCTTCCTGCACCTTTCTGCAGCAGCAGAGGCAACTCGCGCTTAAACAGCAGCAGCAGCCGCTCCACCGAGGTGCGTGCTGGACCTGTGGCTGCAGCTGCAACAGCAGCAGCAACATGGCCAGGCCGAATGGAGACCCCATGTTGCTGCTGCTGCTGGGTACAAACGAACCAGGAATCTGCCTTCGACCGTATTGGCTGTTGCTGCTGCTGCTGTTGCTTCCTGCGTCCATCTGACACATGAGTTTTGGGGGGACGCTGCTGCAGCTGCGTGCGGCTACTCTCCGCTGGAGGGCTTTCAGCTGCTGCCTTTGTTTCTGCTGCTGGACTGCTACGGGGCAGCGCAGCAGCAGTGCCTTCCTCATTTTCTGCTTCTGGCGCTGCAGTAGAGCTAACGCCTGCGTTCTTCAGTGCTGCTAACTGCCGCTGCAGCCATAAGGGTCTCTCGCGTTCTAGTAATTCCTTGTCGTGGTCGGTTGCTGTTACTGTTGCTTGCTGGTGGTGCTGCTGCAGCAGCAGCAGCAAAGACAGAGGCAAACGCTCCCTGGGGTCCGATTCCTTCGAAGCTGCAGCTCTACCGCCTGCTGCTTCATCCTCCATTGTCTCTGCTGCAGCTGCTGTTTCACCCCCGTCTACGTTGTCTCCTCCTGTAGCTGCTGCAGATGGTTGAGACAGCTCCTCATTGAGGTTTGTCGAGCTGTGTTTCCTTTGTAGCGCTCCTGACGCATCTACAGTGTCCCCTGCTGCAGCATGCTGCTGCTGCGGCTGCGCCCACGGAAGTTGCTGGAGCAGCAGTTCGATCTCTGCCGCTTCTGCCTGTGGAGTTTTGCTGCTGCTGCTTGGATTTCGGCAGCGCTGGTGGTAGTGTTGCTGCTGCTGCTGTTTTTGTTGCTGCTGTGCAGTGTTTTGTGTTTCCTTAGAGACGGATGGAGCTGTGGCCTGAACGACAATTACTGGAAAGTAAAGCCCTGGCGTCCTGTCTCCTGGTTGCTGCCGCTGCTGCTGCCGAGCAGCAGCAGCAGATGCTGGCAGTGACGCAGGGTTTGTTGTTGTTACTTGCGACTTCTGTGCAGCAGCAATAGCAGCTTTGGCTCGTTGTTTCTTTAGTGTGGTAAAGAAGAGTGTTTTCTGCTGCTTGGCAAGGTGAGGAGTTAAGCACTCCTGTGCTGCTGCAGCTGATTGGTCTTGGTGCCCATTTGTTGCTCCTGCTGCTCCTAAGGCAGCAAACCGCTTCTCTGTTAGCTGCAGCCTCTGTTTTCTTGCTTTGTTGTTTGTCAGCTGCAGCATACGAAATCTGCGAGTGACTTCGCTGAGAGTTGTGATGCCTTCCATTGTAACTGCAGCAAATGCATTCTCTTGTTTTCTCCCTTTCTTCTCCTTTTGCTCCTGATTTGGATGATTGGTTGCTTTCTTGTGTTCTTCTCCTTCTGCTGTACTCTTCAAATCATTTGTTAGGCTTCCCGGGTATCTTGTCTCCTTTTAGCTGATTCTCTTACTGCATGTACTCCCTCTGCTTTGCTCATCGTTTTTTCCCTCTGCAACTGTCGCGATCCTTATCTCTTCCTCTGTATCTCAGTTTTTGCGTCTGTCCTTGTACCTCTACTCCGTCTAAACCGGTGTCTATGTCGCTGCCTCTCCTCCTGTCTTCCTCTGCCTATAGTCTCTGCCTCTAGTTCTGTGGTTCTGTTCTGTTCTACGTATTGTTAGTCTTCTCTCTTTCTTTTAGCTGTCTTCAGCCCCAAGCCTATCTCCATTCCTACAGTATATCCTTAATTTCACAGTTGCTTAACATAACTTTGGCAGGTACGCATACACGGCAGCGTGCAAACAAAGGGAAACAGCATCGATGCTGATACAAAAGGCATCAACTCTCCCCTTGATTGCCTTACTGCCCTGTCTGGGCTGCTCTCCAACTGTTTTTAAGAATAAAATGAATAAACAGAATATATAAAGAGGCGCCAGGCTGTAAAGGAAACGGCAAATTGACAGCCCTCTAGAGCAATCGATGCTCTCCCCCGTTCCCCCCCCAGCCCGCCGCACCTTGCCGCTTTCTATTCTATTATTTCATTCCGTTTCCCAACTTAAACAAATCATATTTGCACTACGTTGCTAGAAATGCGATAAAAAACAGGCACATTTCAACACCAACTTCTTCTACACTCGAGAGGCGGCGGAGCGGTGACCCCGTTGACAAGCTTTGCGTGCAGACAGCCCCATGAAAGCGGCGGAATGTTCCTGTATTTTCCCTTTTAACAATCAATTAATTCCATTATTCCTAAACTCCATCGATTAAGTGGGGAAGAAAGCTCCGGAAGTCCTGCATTCCTCTCCCTCTCGTTAGGTGTACATACACTGCACTTCCTTCGGTTCCGTCATAGCTATGTTAGCTATGCACGCAAGGTTTTGTCGTGCATACAGAAAAGTTGAATTACTATCAAGAGCTAGAGGGCGTGGTGAGGCGTACAGCTCTGTGCTGTACGTGCACCTGAAGACGGAGTGCAACACCAAAATACTCCTAACGGGAGGATAGAGCTGCTCCCCTCATTTAAGTGCACTAAACTAACGCTGCGGTTCTCTTGGAATTGTTTCTGTGTGAGCCTACAACTCAGAGCAGCGACATATCCTACTTGTGCTCCTTGTATGTCCATTCACACATACCCGCTTATACAAATACATTTTTGTGTATGAATGCATATATATATATATATATATATATATATA